CCTCATCGCGATATCCGTCCGAGCGATTCGCTTAGGCAAGCCCTGGGGGTATCCCTTGAGGGTCTTCACCGCGCTTCAAGCGCACAAACTGAAGACGCCGCGCCCACTGTCGCGGATTGCCTGCCTATCAGGCGCCCACCGCCTGATCCAGTCCACTCAAGCGCTCGGATGAGCTTCCATCGCCGGCCTTACAACCCGGTGCTGCTCTCCGTCCTGCGCGCTTGAAATTACGTGCCTGCGCGCACATATATGGTCCTCCGAGCCGGATCTTTTGAGGCAAGCACACTTCCTTGAAAGACGGCAGACATCAGTCCTCTGGACACGCCACTTGCTTTCAACTTTCCAGTATGGCAGAAGGCGGAGAAAACTCCAATCAGAACGACGGCGATTTGGATATAGCGACGCGCATATCCTCGCTCTCGCTGAAGGCTAAAAGGTCGATGGTGCTCTCACAGCTGAGAGCCATCCACACGACCCTTACCCGAGAGATTGCAGCGGAAGAAATAGAGACCTTCCGGCCGTCCTTCAATCGTTTAGACGTGCTGAGAGAACGCTTCGAGGAGTTCCAAGATCAAATAATCTTGTTAAATACCTCTCTGCCACCCGAGTCTGAGATTGAGGTGGAAATTCTGCAGGCTGAATTTGACCGCCTCTTTGATGAAGCCCAGCGCTCATTCCTTCGGAAGACGCTGCCCGCCTTAGCAGGCGTTTCCACGCTTAACAATACCTCTTTCTCCGTGTCTTCCATCCGACTGCCAAAGTTAGAGCTCCCGAAATTCAGCGGAGATTTGGGCGCATGGCGAACCTGGTATAACCTTTATAAGGCGTCGGTTCACACCAGCCCCTCACTCCTGGCAGTCCAGAAATTTCAATATTTGCTCGGCAGCCTAAAAGGTGACCCTCTCGCACTCATCACCGGGCTAGACATCACAGATGCCAATTACGACGTCGCTTGGACGCTGCTCTGTGAACGCTATCATTCTGAGCGTCGCCACGTGTTCCATCACTATAATGGCCTCCTAGACCTTCCTGATGCCCAACGCTTCGAGCAAATACCTGCGCTGATCACCAAGATCAGGGAACATTCCCAAGCGCTCCAAGCCCTCGGTCACCCTCCAGACTCTTACAGTGGTCTGTTGAGCGCCCTAATAATGCGAAAATTGTCCACTCGCCTGAAGCAAAGGCTAGAGGACTACCGAGGAGCTGATCCCTCTTACCCCAAGCTCGACGAACTTCTTAGCTTCCTGGAGAAGGAACGTCGCAGCACCGAAGATAGCCCTCCCAATCGCAGAGAGGCTAAGGCTCTAGTTTCATGCCATGAGACTAATGCCCATCCCGCACCCCGCAAAAATAGAGCCAAAGGCTCCAGAGCCAAGTCTCGCTCACCCAACGGCACCAAAATTTTGGTATCATGCGATGGGTCGTCTGATAGCTCTGACTCCTCCTCTGAGCACGAGCAAGAGGATAGAGACGATCACAGCAAGCCTCAGACCGACCGCGCACGCCAACCGCAATGCCCTTGTTGCCCAGAAAGACACCGACTCTTTGACTGTTCCGCCTTTCGCGCCAAACCCATTTCTCAGCGTCGAGAATTCATAAAGGATGCAAGTAGATGTTTTAACTGTCTGAACACTCATTTTGTCGAGTCGTGTGTCTCACCTCGGCGTTGCATGCTTTGTTCCAAAAAGCACCACACCCTTCTCCACGAAGAGTCTCCGGCAAACAACTCTGACGACCCGGATGCTACTTCTGACA